GGCCATGGATTTTCTTAAAATAGTTTTTGATATAGTCAATTGATATCTACTAATTAAAAAATACCATCGAAAAATTGAAAATTACGGATAATTGTAGAATATTAAATTTAGTTTTCATTACTGAAAATTTTAATAATTCTAATCCTATAGTATATGCCATATAATATCCACTTCTCCCTAATACACCACTGCATCATCTAATTAATAACATCTATTGTAGTAAAAATATTTTTAATAGCTTACTTTGTACGTTTGGTATCAGAAACTTCGTCCTTAAGTTGTTGCAAATATTTAGAAAATTCATGTATATCAATTTCTGGTGGACAATTAAGTGTACTTAATTTTATATTGCCCACTTCCACAGTAACATGTTGTGTAAACTMTTCATGATGCTGGATTTGTTTCTTGGATTTAACTACAAGTCTTTTCAGTTCAAAATCGTAAACATTTGGGTCGCCACAGTGTAGACAGCCCCTATCATTTTGATGGCAACCAATGTGGAAAAAATGTTTATTTTTGCACATCATAAATATGCCCTAGTAATATAAGTAAAAACATGATTAATAAAAAATAAAACTTAATTTCTGTTATTATACATAAATAATGTTATTTTAGGAGATTATTAAAATTATATTTTACCTCTGAGCAAAACCGACCACAACGTGGACAACTGTGGTGTAAGAAAAATCGCCTCATATGATGTTGGCAGTATGTCACATAAGGTAGAACAACATTTGCTCTTAACATGGGCATGTTGCCATATTCATCTAAATGAGAAGCTAAATTTTGACATGCGTAAACTTTTCCATCTAAGCAGTCATGAGCTTTACAAGTAATTTTTCCTTCATCAACCATAACCACTTGAATATGTTCTTGACACAAACATAAATTAACTTCTTGTATATCAAGACTATTGTCATTTATTTTATCTGTAAAAATAAAGTAAAATATAGGATATAAAATATAARCCACATTAGTACCTAACATCTTACTAAAAATATAACATTTATAAATATTTTTATTTATTCCTATATGGTAGTCAAGAATAACAAGTCACAAGTAGAACTTATCTTAGACTAAATGATGATAGTTAATAATATAATAATATAATTTAATTAATTAAATAAATTAATAATAATAATTTTKAACTAACATAAATCTAGATTACCTACATAGAACTACATTCTATAAAATCAAAGCAAAATGGTATCAAATCAATTACCAGTTCAAAAACATGGTTAGGTAAGCAATATATTTGTATCTATAGTAAGTTATAGGTAGGTACTCTATTTATTATTTGTTCAAATTAATTTATTTTACCTTCTGTATCAATGGTTGAGATACTGGTATCCATATCATCCTGGTCATTTCTTTCACTAGACATCAATGTGCCTATATCGCTACAAACTGAAAATAATCATTTAAATATAGAGGGTACATCACATAAAATTTTAAATGAACTCAAATAGTATACCTGAGATGGAATGTCTTTCTGAATTAGTTTCCGACGAATCTATATCAAAATTTACTAGATCAGAGTTTAATTGATTACTAATAGCTTTCTTAATTTTTTGCCGTTCTTTTTGTACAGTTTTTTTTTTAAAAATATTATATCTTCCACCTCTAAAGAACTTCTTTTTCTTCTTTTTGTGGTCTGTAATAATTTCTTCATTTACTTCCTCTTTGATCGGTACATCTTTAATATCCTCATTTTCATTCTCAATAGGTGATTGAATACTAATGGGAATAACATTAGCTTTATTTACAACTTCTTCTTGTTTTATTTTTATTTTCTTGGGAGATTTTTTTTTTGAATTTACATCAATGCTAAATGTTCTCTCTTTTCGAGCAATAGCAGATTTCAACACTGATTGATTACTGTTGTTAGATCTTCTAGAAGACCTTTTGAGAGGTATAACTTCAGTGCTAACAACATTGATTTGTTTTTTTCTTTTCGGGCTATTAGAACTGTAATCAGTAAGATTGCTAGAACTCACATAAGAATCAGGTTTATTCTCATTAGGCCTCAATGTCAAGATGATTCTAGGTTTTTCCTGCTCGATTCCATCAGAATTATTTGTAGTTGACGTACTATCGACTTCTGACTGGTTTTCATACATTTTCTTTCTAGATCTGATACTAGCTACTAATTCTTCATCTACTTGTCCATTCAGCTTAAGCATWAGCTCTGCAATCTCATCGTCGGGGCTTTTTGCTACGGAAAATTCTTCTTTTATAGAAGTTTCAACCACACTTGTTGTCACCATATTTTCTCCATTTTCTAAGTCATCATCATCATCTGTATCTCCTTCATTGCTAAATCGATTTTTCATTCTAGATAATATCTCCTGAATATCAGGCCTACTAGGCTTTTTATCTTTTAAGTGGTTCATGTTTTCAGCTCAGTAATATAACTATAAGAATATCTGGAAAAAAAAATACAAGAAGTTCTTAAGTAAACTATAATATGAAACTAAGTTCAATGACTAGCATAAATAAGTAAAAGATATGTTTAATATTATCTACTCTGAAAAACATTTTAAACATTTTACAATGAACAATTTATATAAAATAGATGAGATAACAGAAAGACATTTCGTAAAGACAATATTATGTTATCATTAGAATAGATTGGTAGGTACTGATTTGATTTGTTTGATTGGAAACATTTATACACAGCCAACATTTTTGTAAAAATGATATTATACTAACATGTACCTAACGGATTAATACTTAAAACATTTTCTACTTTACTTGGTATTTCTAGAAATTAACATCAAATTTATAAAATTATTCTCTAAACACATAATTTATACTACCTGGGTAGTATGAACAGCTATGAACTTAAACTTCACAATCATCTCATTAGACATAAAATATGATGGTAAAGATACATTAGTGTTTTGTTTTAATTTTTCTAAACGTAGGCCTACCTTAGAGTATCAATATTAAGTAAGGACGTTATTTTTAACTTTATGGCTCAATTTATATAAAATAAAACCAACTATTCAAACATTTAAATTTTATTACAAATAAATTGATTACTTATATTATTCTGAAAATGATAAAAATTACTAGGTAATTCAGTAATTACTTTAAGTATCAGTGACCTATTACACTTATCTGTCCCGTACCTAACCTTGTACATTTTAATTGTTTCAATTGAAATCGAAATTGCGACTGAGCACCAAGACTAGGATAGGTATTAAGTTGAGACAAAAAGTGAAATCAGTTGACTATCAACAGTTCTTATTCTTGTTATAGCTTGTATTAATTTAAAAACAGATAAATAAAGATATAACTATTTCTTTTAAGAAACCAACGTAAAATAAATGTATGTTGGCACCGACCATGAACAAAAGGACGTTTAATCTGTGCGTTATGAGTAACGACAAGAAAGCATAAGAGTGCTAGACAAGTGGCGGTCATGTCAACAGTGTGTAGAAGACTGTTGCGTATGCATGTCCGAACAAATTTTAAAMATTTGAGCAACTGCGATGTGGTCATCGGCTTAAAAAATCCCAAGTCCGTTGGACACCAGCTGCGTGTACTTCTTACACGACGGAGGGCGCACACAGAACAACAACAAGAAGAACAAGAAGTACAAAAAGAACAAGAAGAACTAAGCACTTACGGTTCTTCAGTCTTCTTAAGTGTCCATGGTTGCTGGACTTTCTGAGTGGATTGGCAGCAATGAGCCCGACGACTCAGCTCGGACGTGCCTCGGACATGGAAAACGGAAAAGGCAAATGGCAAAAGCGCCAAAAGCTCGACGGCGACAAGCAGAATCGGTCCGAAGATCGACGGTGTCGAGTGTGGGACGGCGGGGCGGAGGCAGCGCTTTCGGCGGCGCTAAGACGTAACGACGCGAACGGCGGCGGCGGCGACTACGACGACGGCGAAGATGTTCCTCGGTGAACGAAAACACGCATGATCACCAATCGGTACATGTAGTATCGGGCCGCACTGTTGCCAACCTCGGCGGGTCTCGGTACTGCGTTTTCCGTATAATGTGTATAATAATATACCACTACTGCGTCTATATACTTACCACCGTAAATTATTTTTGCGGAGCTTTCGCTCGGCGGAACTGAACGGCCCGCGTGGCGGTATAACAAGTGGGCGCGCACCCGCGGCCGTCGTCGGCGGATCACGGAGCACGGCCGCCGCGCGATGGCCCAAATCCCTCCCCACCCCTTCGGCGGAGGTCCTGCCGTAGCCAGCGATGTCTTCAGCGGATGCTGCAGCTGCTGAACACGGCCGTAATGGCACCGCCGTGCCGATATTTTATTTTTAAACGTTATTGTCTTCGTCTATAGGTCTGACGGCCRTGSCCGACGACTGATGGGCGTACGAAGTGCCTAGTATCGTGATCTATTGGGTAGGTTCCGTACCGAACGGACTACTGTGCGGGCCGTCGAAGAACACCCGGAGACTCCGAACGCCGTCGGTACCTCGACTACCGTTTTGGAACCACTGCGATGTCGGTGTAAATTGTTATGTGATAGCGTCATCCGACACACGCCGCTCGCAACAACTATTAATATTATAATATTAATAAAATATTATTATATTGTAATTATTAATTAACGTCATCGTGAGTCGCAACTCGGAGCGACAGTGCTATAATAATATAATAATAATATCGTAACGATTGACCAGCAGCAGCAGCTGTCACTCGGTCGTCGTGTGCGGACGGCGTACACTTCGGATTGGTTAAAACCTCATGCCTCATATTACGATTCCCTTCGCTCGCCGCCTTTCCGTAGCTCGCTCGAGTGCGCATATCGCGACGGCGGCGGCGTGCGCTGCTCACAGCCCGCCCGGTAAATGGCATAATCATTATGTAGACACTATATAGATATTATTTTATACCACGGCCGCGGCTGTCGTCGTCGACCATGGCATCATCATTGCACGTCCGCAAAAGTTGCGTTATTATTAAGTAAACAGCGCAATAGTAGAGAATGGTTGCAGCACAATATCGACGTGTCTATCGCATTTTCCGGAGACAGTCAAAACTATTTTTTAATTGCGACGTAAAAAAGCAATGCGGGAGACTTTACATTAATTCGTCGTCGGACATAGTTTTGGCCAGAAGTATAATATAGAGTACGCCGTATCCCGTATCTGATACACGGTTAGGTTCGGTTTACCAAAATGTTGTGGTCCGCATATTATTATTGTTATTATTATTATATATACGATATCGGCATATTATGGCCACGACATGCACTATAAAAAAAAAATAGAAATGTTAGATTTCGGCCGTATCGTGATTCGCGGCGTCGTTTTATCTCGTTAGGTACAATTAACAATAACGGATAACTGCAGGCATCCGTTCACGATTAATGATCTTTTGGACGGATATCGCGGTTTGTGATTATTATTAATCACGAATGTACGGTCGGTTTTACTATATTTTTTGTGGACACTTCCGACTATTATAGTAATAGTAGTCACCCGTAAACCACTTGTCGTAATTATAGTGACGTACATGCAGATTGCAGGTACTACAGCACATCACACATCATCATAATATTATATTATAATATAGTCAAGCTCTAGTAATTCTCTATATATAGCTCTATGAGAATCAAACGATTTTTATTTTTTGGTAACTGTATAATAACGACAATAACTAATAAGACATGCGTTGAGGGCACCAATCATCAGTTATTTATTTATCCTTGTGGGGTTGCATATAAATATGGTGTAGCTCAGGCAAGTCAAACTCGAAGTATCAAGTGGGCCAAACATATATTGAAAAGCTTACTATATGCAGTCTGCCCATAAAAAATATTTAAAAAAATGTTTATAGTTTATCAGAATATAAGACACTATAATATTGTAGGTATACAAATAAACCATACTCTAAGAATCTAAGATATAGTTGTAAAACGGCATTATTATTTTATTTTATGTTTTTGTTCATTAATATA